AAGAAGAAGAAGAAGAAGAAGAAGAAGAAGAAGAAGAAGAAGAAGAAAAAGAAGAAGAAGAAGGTGGTCATGTTAGCTACCTTTCCTGAAAGCATCTCCAACAGCAGTAAAGTACACCCTGTACCCTGTGCTCCACAGTTCTGCCAGCAACAAGGACATTAGGTAAGCCCCTCCAAACCCCTAACCTTAAACTGCCCAGTAAGTACTCTCAACAGCAGTAAATTGCACACTATACCCTGTGTACCATTTCGCACCCCACAACTTCGACTGCACTCCTGGAAGTCTGCAGTCACCAGGGACAAACAGGTAAGACGCTGCCCCAAGCTCTTGCCCACCATACTTCCATAAAACACACCCATCAAGCCTGAAACTGCACCCCACTCCCCTGGACTCGGTTTACCAGCCCACAACAGAGCCTGATTTCCTGGAGGCCTACCTCAGCTCAACTGGTACTAAGGCCCCCAGAGGCCAAGGTAGCACCCAAAACACCAGAGAAAACACGGACCACAAAGCCTGCAGGGGAGACCCCAACTGAACCTGAAGAGTAGGTCATCACCAGAACTCCAGACCATTTAGGGCAGTAGACATAGAACAGAAACCAAGGGAAAAACATTACCAAACAAACAAAACAACAACAATAACAACAACAAAACAATACCTATCCATTAAAGATAAACTCAGAAATCAACATCTAAACCTATTTTAACTGTAAAACTCAGATGGCTAAAGGCCAGTATAAAAACATAATCAACACCAGCCAGAGCAATATGGCACCACCAAAGCCAACAAGCCCTGGATATCTTAACAGCTAAAGCATAAGAAAATGACTTTAAGTCCAATCTCAACAAGATGATAGAGGCCTTTAAAGAAATGGATAAATCCCTTAAAGAAATACAGGTTGAGGAATTCTGTGGAAGATAAGGATGAAGGATTGAAGGAGCTAGACAGGTGCAAGTCGCCACAAGAAGACATACAGAACCAACGAACCTGGGCTGATAGGGGCCCACAGAGAATCAGCCACCAAGCAGAGAGCATTCTTAAGATGGACCTAGGCCCTCTGCACATATATGACAACTCAGTCTGTGCGGCTCGTCTTCATGTGAAATTCTTAACAGCAGGAGCAGGTGCTGTATCTGAACCTGTGGGCCACCTCAGGATCCCTTTTTTCCTTACTGGGCTGCCTTGTGTAGCCACAATAGAAGATCATGTACCTAGTCCTACTACAACTTGACATGGCAAAGTTGATATCCACGGGAGGCCTCCCTTTTTCTGAGACTTTTCTGAGGAGAAAGGGAGTACTGGAGGATGGTGGGGACAGGACGGGAGGTGAGAGGGAAGGACTGGAAGGAGAGAATGTAGAGGAAACTGTGACGGGCTGTAAAATTAATAAATTAGTTAATTCCTCACAATAAGAAGGAGGAGGAGGAACCCACCTATATGTGGATAATGAAATGGCTTGTTCTGTCACAAACATTTGCTTCATATTTTTCCTGCTTATATCTAGTAATGCCTGTTCTTTATTTTCATGTATCCCAAATTCCATAGTCTAAACTGTTTTGTGTGCTAACAGAAATAGGAAGTGAAAAATCCCATAACATTTGATTTGTTGTGTTCAGTATTATTTGGGCAAGTGGAAACTTTTTCCTCTTAGGTAATTTAATCTCTCTGACAACTACTCCAGGTGTTAATCACTGCACTGGTAAAAGCAAGATAATTTTCAGAAGTAAGAAGTTTCTAGATGCAAATATATATGCATATACATATAGAATATATATTTTACTCCTCCTTTTAAAGCGGTAAGAATTTCAGCCCATCAACATTTGCTGATCTCTTCTTTCATAGTTGTCAAAATAGCCTGTGTTTTATTTATTTTCAGAATTCTTTCCATCTCACCTATGAAGTGAAGAAAGCATTTACTATAAATAGATGGCTTTCATTAGGTAGCTGAATGAATCATATTGTAAATGAAGAGTTTTAGAGAAGTACTGCAAAATTATAGGGAGCTAAATTTTAAGCGCTCGCTTTATTCTTCAACTGGACACTGTAACCAGTTATCTTGTTTATGGTATATATGTACTTTAGAGAATTATGGGCAGCAGACAAAATCTACCTATGTCAGTTCCTGGTAGCCAAGGCCTCATGCGAAAGTAAGACCACTATGCCTGGGGAATCTCCTCCGAAACTGGCCAACTCTGAGACTGGGAATTATGTTGCTCCTATTGATAGCATGATTGACACCCAGAATCCTAGGATGTGGAAACCAGAAACTCCTGAGTGAGTTTTAAACATGAGCTTACAAGGCGAAGCATAAGCTAAATCAAACAAAAAGCAATGGGAAAGAGGAGATAACACCAGCCAAAGCAGGTGAGTCCAAGTCAGAGATATTTATGCCTGCCTGCTTCTTAAGGACAGAACAGAGAAAAGAGTTCAGGCAGCAAATTCTGCCTGAAAACGGCATTTTATTTATATTGCAAAGCGGGTGATCACTACAATCAACAAACAAAGTCATTCCTATCTGTTTTTCTGCAGATTTTCAATGTTGGTACTGCATACACAGCATGAAAATGAGCTAAAAAAAGATTAGTTGCTATATAGTGGTTTTCACAATATATTTCCAAAAACAAAGTATAAATAAATATATGTATGTCAAATTTCATATTAGAAGGGATGAATAAGAGCTTATGAAATTTTATCAATTATTCAAAATGAAATTAAGATAGTAAAATTTGAAAATGAATAAAATGAGTAACATATGGCAATGTTGAAAATAGAGTAGAGAGAACATAAAAATGGGGGTGGCCACTGAGTTCATGTCATAGACAGTCCCTGTTCCCATTACTAGGGAACCCACTTGGACATTGATCTGCCATGGGCTACATCTGTGCAGGGGCTCTAGGTTATCTCCATGGTTATCTCCTTAGTTGGAGTATCAGTTTCAGAAAAGATCCCTGTGCCCAGATTTTTTCTTCTCTCTCTCCTTGTGGAGCTCCTGTCTCCTCCAGGTCTTTCTAACTCCCCCTTCCTACAATTTGATCACCTACCCCTGAGGGAGGAGCAGCCTTACCAGGCCTCAGAGGAAAACAATGTAGCCGGTCCTGATGAGACCTGATAGGCTAGGGTCAGATGGAAGAGGAAGAGATGCCAACACCTACACCAGTGTCGCCATAGTAGCATGTGCTACAGGGCAGGAGAAACACTTTCTTCGGAAATTCGCTCCTTGGAAGGTCCCTGGCAGACTCATCCCACTTGGAAAAGAGACGTGTCCTGAGATTTCTACGCTTTTTCAGTTGTGGCTCTGGAGCTGGATTAATGAATTCTTTGATTTTTCTCTGTGACTCCTGAAACAGCACAACTAGTTTTATAAAGAAATTTATTATTAGTAGATTATTAAAAGCTTTAATAAAAATAATATGTAAAAGAAATAAGTTTAAAAAAGTAATAAATTAGATTTAGCATTAATAGGCAGTAAGAATAGTGAAAAAATAATAGCCTCCTTCTTAAGAAAAAATAGCATGGGAGGTACAGCTGGTGGGAGTTTCCCCTCCAGTGCCTTGTTTCTAGGGAAAATCATAAATCTTTAGCAGGACATATGGGAGGATGGTTAACAAAGGTGTAGTTAGATTTTGATACAGAGAAAGATTTTGGCAGGCATCTGACTTAGCTCCTGACTTTCCTCTTCACTGGTTAGCAATAATGAAACTACATTTGAGGTTTCTTTTTCTTTGTTTGCTTTGATCAAAAAGTTTTTAGGCCAAGATTTCTTGTGGGCACTGCTTTATGTTTGACTACATTTTGAGTTAAAATGTAAACTTTGTATTCTTGGTAAAAGTCTAAATGTTCTGGGAAGTATGCCAATTTTAAGGTGCCTTTTGTGAAATCATTATAAAAATACTAGCTTGATTTCAGTAAAGTGCAGCAGAGCCAAAACCATCAAGGTGTCTCTGTCTGTTAATTCATCGCCAAAACCATGTCTTCCTGTCCGAAGCCTTGTTCTCCCTCGGACGCCGGGAGCCCGACTGGGCCGGTCCATGGCAAAGAGGACCTCCTATATCAGTAGACTGGGGAAGGGGCACGGGTGAAGAACAGGGAGGGAGGGTGGGATTTGGAGCAGATGAGGGAGGGAGCTACAATTGAGATACAAAGTGAATAAACTGTAATTAATAATAAATAAATAATTTTTAAATGGGGGTGGCTTATTATGAAAGAGGAGAGAGTTTTGGAAAGATGGCTCAGAGGTAAAGAGGTTCATAGTTTTGTGTTACAGCACTCACATAACAAGCTGGATGTTCTGAAAACCTCCAGAGGGATCCAATGTCCTACAAACACGGGAACACACACAGATAAATACATACGTACATACACACACATGCATACATACATGCTTGCATACATACCTATAGACACACAAATACACATAATACATTCTTTGCATGTTAGGATTAGAGCAAAGTCGTACATACAAAACTAGTAAATAAACCCAAACAAGCATGTGTATAGATGGGCTGCAACATAAAATGGAAGCAACAGCAAGTAAGCCTAAATCTATGACACACAAGTTAACCTACTGCAAAAGTTAGAGGAACATATCTAAACGAAGCAACTTTATTATTTGTTTTTTATAAGATGCCGTAAAACCAAAATAAAAATAATTGCACACATGTAATAAATCCCAGTTTGCGCATTTCCTTTTCACTGTCCTGTGAACTAGCTTTTCTGGAACAATTGTATGTGAAAACATCTTGAAAAAGTAGATGTCAGTGATGACACAGGATTCAGAGAAAGGCAACAAGTCAACGAAAGTCTCACATGATCTCTGTGATGCTGAACTGGCATTCCTAGTGTTCATTGAAAGCCATGGCTTTAACTATACACATGTACCTAGATAATTATATGCAGGTGTGCAGAGGTGTGTGTCACTGTGCACACATATGCCGCCTAGTTCTTTTCACAGAAAAAGTACAAAAGTATTAGGATTTGAAAACAACGAGGACACCAAACACGTGGATCTTAACTCCTGACTGCAATTCTTCCATGAAATCAAATAGAAATAGTAAAAAACTGTTGAGTACAGAGCCAGGAAGTTGTCTTTACAATGCAAGACTATTATAAATTGACAAAAAGTAAGGTCAGAAAGAAAAATATTTAAAAAGAGTGTCATGGGAGACCATTTAAAGGCTTCCAGCAGTTAAAACTGGATTAAATTGAGAAAATTACTTAAACTGTAATTGCAGTGACTTTTTAGCTCATCAATTCCAACATATAAATTGATATTAAGTATATAATTAATGCACAAACAAAATTTAAAAGAAAAATTGGAATTTTACAGCGACAAATTATGTAAAACTAACATAATGATGTT